GCATTCAGCTACAAATGATGCTTTAATATGTATTGAAATTTAGAGTTCCCAGAACTGATTTTTTGAAACTTTGTCTATGAATTTTTACGAGTTTCATATTCTGACGTGGTACTTCCTGGACAATGTATACTCATACGACAAAAAAGTCTATAAACCGGCAGTTGACTTCTGACTTCAAACTACCATCACCTCACTGTATGTCATATTCCACCACTTCCACAATACTCACCTCACCTTACCTTTTTCTCTACCTTTATGTCTGTCTCTTTTACATCTGTAAATCACTCTTCCGTTCCCTCTCTCACCCTTTTCCCACTTTGATGTTCCTCCCCTTCGTGAAACAAAAGGGCCAACCATAACTATCATATAGCCTGCAATCTGATATAAATAAATAGTCTGACTTATATTTGAATTATTTCCTCTTTTACTTCTTAAAATGATCTTTTGACAAAGGCAAAGGAGTCAGTGTCAAGGGTATTGTACAAAATTGAAGTCTAAAATAACCCCGATGGTATACACCTATGGCTGAGTTCATGTTATAATTAAGTCGAGGTATAATTGCTGATTTACTAATCTACCACTTATATGGTTATACTCTCCTTGTTCTTCTTCTTCTTCTTCTTCATGAAAAACATTCATTTCAGAATTATCTGACGTAAGTAAATCAATCAAAGACAAAAGCCAGACATATGATTGCATTGTTCGTCTCAATTTTATCGTGAGAACAAAAGATATTAATCAGAACTTGCAAAAAGTTGAGCTCATGCCACTGGTCTTCAAACCGTCTTCTTAAAAAAATAAAAATTTGGTCTTGGTGAATGAGTTGCAATATTCATGCAGTAATTCTGATTATTATAACTCAGATGAAGATTAAATTCGGGAATCTCCAGCCCTATAATAACTGTCGCATTGTCCATATATAACAAATACTCGATTTTTATTGCTACATAAAAAATTCCAGCAATTTGACTCGATAGCTCTTCTGGCAATCTTGTGTTGATTAGTAATATACTAGGCCTTTGGGTCACGTGAATGGTTAATTGCATTAGCAGGAGACTGGCTTTCTGTCAAGGGTGGAAATACTGGCTTTGTGTGAAAAAATGAACTACGTATTCCCATAGAGAAACTATTTTGTTACTACATATGTCTGTTATATTTCCCGAGAGACATCTTTTCTACATCAATGGTTCATTTGAATGCTTCAAGGTCATTATTAAATTTGGTCTGGTGTCCAACTGAGCTGCGTGTGCTTACCAACCCTCTCCCCTCTGTGCCTATCTGGGAAACTCGGATACTGGGTTTATAAAGGTAAAAGGTCTCTCTTTGAATCATTGAGGTTAGGTGCCTACTTCGAAACACTACTTGACCACTTGTTGATTCTTGTTAATAAACGGGGTGGAGGATTGGGAGATAATCAATAGAACAAGTTCACTTTGGTGGGTTCGGTACTTGTAATACTTAATCGTATCATTAGAACTGAAGACTATTGACTTTTCCAACATCATCAAATAGAAATAATGAGTGGCATAATTATTTCTTTTCAACACAGCTAGACAATCACAGCACGACAATTTTACACGCAAATGCAATTTTATCGCATAAACATGAATATGTGGAGCAGGAGAATGCAAAAAGCAGTTATCTGCCACGAATGCGCTTGTCAATATTGTGTGTGTGCGCAAGAGAGAAAAATGCTCTTGGCAGACTGCTCTTGATCCAGGTGCACTTAATGACGCCCCAATCGCGCTTCTCTTTCAGCTGAGTGATAAGTACTTGTCTTTCACGACTATGAAGCATAGATCAAAATGGCTTGAAAATTGGCAATTGCGAAAATGATAAAAAATTTGTGCGTTTTATTAAATCGAAAAAAGTTATTCTAATCAGCTTTGGCCATTTTTAAATCACAATAATTATGCAAGTTTCTCATTAATTTTTCAGCGAATCTGTTTTCTTGTTCTCCAATCTGGATGGATATGCGCTGAATGTATTGATTCGTATTGATTTTTTCATTCTTATTGGCATCACCCCTCCACCCCTCTCCCCAGCCTAAAGCATCACTGCGAACGGAGAGTGCACACTCCCGAATACACTTCTTTTGTGAATAATATTGCATTTAAGTTTTCGATTTTACTTTTAACACTCAGGCAGAAATTTCTACCCAAATGAACTATTCATTTTCACCTAATTCCCCATTGGAAGTTCACTAATTTCTGCTCCAATATGAGGTTAGCGCACCAGCTCACCTGAAGAAAGTGTGATGATCAACCACCACATTGTATAGCCTCTTAGCCATCTCCGAATTAAGGCACTTAAAAGTAAGAGTCACATTGCGATGAGCGTTTGCAGATGGTTTCGCCGAACTCGAACGTTGCCTGGATGTACCACGCTCTGTCGAGTCTTTTGTATTCTTTGAGGAGACACTTGTTCGTCGTCTTCCATCAGGCGACTCGATGTACTCATTGAAAATGACAGGTCGTACAACCATGATGAATTCTTTCCCCTTATAGGAGAGCTCAACAATACGAGCCCAAGTGTAGCGCTGCATTCGTAGGCGACCACGGTAGATCAGTACTCCTGAATGATAAACCCCAAGAGCCAAGTCTTCTCCGGCGTGGTTCTAAATACAAAAGTATTTTTATGTTAAGGCCTAAATTGACCAACCCAGTATTATAGAAAAATGCACTATCATAGGCGCATCATTTACTTTCGTTTATGATGAAATATGTTTGGGGTGTGCGATAGACTCACCTCCACGTTGTGCACCCTGGGCAACGCATACTCATACGTCAAAAAAGTCTATAAACTAACCGTTGACTTCTAACTTAAAACTACTATGACCCCATATCCGACCACTTCCACAGTACTAATCTTACCTGTGTGTCTGTCTGTCTGTCTGTCTTATATTTGTGAATCACTCTTCTGCTCACCCTCCTCACTTCTTCTCACTTTGATGTTCCTCCTCTCTGCGAAGCCCGAAGTCAGCTAAAGGACTAATGATATCTATCATGCAAATTAACTTCCCTGTAGAAATCTGTGCAGATACCGAAGTTTACGTCAAATATTAAGGCAATTTAATCCTGGAAAGATCGGCTAACTACCATAAAGAATATGATACGTGTAAACATTGAATCACTAATATTTATGAGCTCCAGATGGGAAATGAGAGTTTCCCTTCGTTCTCCAAATATTCATATTTCCAAATATTTGTAACCGTTAACTTTTGTAGAACTCAATTTGAAGACTCTGCAAAGCGTTGCACCACTCAGTGTAATTTACGATGTTTTCCCACTTCTTGATGGCTCTTCAAGCTACGTGAAACAAATCGCCAGAAAGCAGTCTTTTTCGAACCCCCTACATTCGGCTATTTTAGTTCTTTTGATCCTAGCCTGTGGCAATGAAAGCAGGTACCAGATGTCGAATATATTCGATGCAATGGACAGAATTCATAAAATGCGGTATTATTCAATTGTTGCTGATGTTCACACTTTTTGAAAAGTGTTTGCTATCTCCTTGGCCCTTAGTCAAGCGAAAGGATTGGGCCATAAAATAACACGGTAGGCAAAATTAGTTGTGTTAAAAGCGCTCCTTATTCGGGAGTCGGCTGCATTTCGACTTATTCCAATACAACACATGTCTCCTCCACCCCCCCCACCCCCACCCCCTCCCCCACTCTTAACTCTCGTAATTTAATCCCATTCCCAGTGTTCCGCTGTAGCACTGGGGGGGAGGGGGGAGGGGGGAGGG